ACCCGAACCTGTTTAAGATCAACCTAAACCCGCTTATCTCGTGTCATGTTTGAATCGTGTTAGCGGATCGTCTCGTAATTTGCCACCCTTACTCGGGGGCCACATTCCCCTTCCCTTCCCTTATATAGTTGTATGATTTTTTGTTATATTTTTTTTTCTCCATATATGTATGAAAATTTTATAGCATGCCCCTCCTAAAATCTTCAATTATTAAGATTATCTCTTATTTCTTTTTGTTTTTTTTTTTTTCCTTCTTTTTACTCTTTATATTCATTTAATTTTCTTTTTTTTAAAAAGTTACATTCCTATTTACCTTTCGTTAATCAAATCTTAATTTTTGTCCCTTCAAAGTTCACCCTATTTTATTTATTTATTTTTTGCACTTATATAGTTATATATGATTTATGCAACATTCTTTCCCTTATTAATTACATTTATTGTTGTACGTAATCTTATGAAGTCATTGCGTTTAGTTTAATGCATCGCTTTCAAAATAAATTTATATTTGTCATTTTTTTGAATATATATTTTAATCTAAGTACATTATGTCTACCTGAGATGAAATCGTGGCTCCGCCCTTGTATCCATCCCCCTCCTCTATTACAACGTTTTCTCTTATGCACTAATTACAATCTCACCATCTCCAAACTCACTTTTATTCACATATTTCGATATTTTGGGAATCTTCAAAGATTTGAAGGTGGCAATTTTTTACAAAAATTAAAAAAAAAAAATGAGGATTGAAGAATTGTCAGAGTATTGGACCAAAATTTTCTAACACCAAGTTTAATTGTTCTTTAACTTAAATTATTTGTAATCTTATTATTTTTTATTATTATAAAATTGTATATTTTGTTTGTGAGTTGCCACCATTCTTAATTATATTATTGAATATGTCTACTAGAAAGTATGAATCTGAATATGAAAAACTGAAAAAGAAGACAATAACAGAAAAAACTAATTTAAGAATCCAATTAGTAACTTTGAATCTCAATACTACGTCACTTGTAGGTGCAAAGTTTTTCCAAACTGGATTTCGGATCCAATTTGAGGAATTAAACACCCGAACACTCAAAATAGGATTAATCAAAAACAAATAATCGAAGAACTGTGAAGGGAGAGAGACAGATTTTGCAGAAGAATCTGAGCAGGAAAATGAGTGCCTCTCCATTTGGTTCTTGGCCTCTTATTTATACACTTACAAAGATTTCTATGGGGCCGTTATTTGCCGTTTTGTACGTGGGTATTCATCGTCCGTGATTCTTTGTGTGGTGGGCGTCGCTTTCAGTGCGTTTGAATTTGGCTTGGGTTGACTGGGCTTACTTCCTCTATTTGGGCCAACTTGAAGTCTGATGACTTTTACGGTGGGCTTTTGATTGCATTTGGTTGGATGTTGGGCTTCTGGTTTAATCATTCTAATGTTGGGTCCTCCTTTTTTCATTGACATGTGGCGTCCTGTGATTGGCGGGAAAATTTCCCTCCACAGTACTAGAGAGAATGCTGGTTCCACACACGCACATATATACACACACAAACACAATCTTTTCTTTGATGTTTTGTTTTCTAGCCAAATATGATGTTTTTGTAAGGCACAAAGTTATAACATAACACAACTAGAAAAACAAAAAACTACTTTGAATCCACAAATTTGAGCAAAAACTATTAAGAATTGTGTCTCAAATTCTACTGTAATTAAGTTTTAAAATTAAAATTGTATTTTATTTGGTAGTTTTTGTTAGACAAAGTATTGGGCTATAACGAATTGTAATCCTAGTCTAATAAGGGATTGTGTTCAGTACTCTTTATGGATATTTCTCTTATTGTTGAGAGTTAAGAGAGGGAGACACATATAGTCTTATAGTGAAGGGTGGCCACATAAGGGAGTTAAAGGGTACAGAAAGATGACGGGTTTGGTAGGGTGAATATTTATCGCGAGAGAAAGTCTCATGGAGTATTATACCTAGAAAAACTCTAGGGAAGAGTTTGTGTACATAGTTCAGTGTAGAAAATCCTAATATCTCTACATTAATATAGTGAATATTTTGTCATCCGTGGATACATGCATGATCAGTTTGGCCGAATTATGTATATCTTGTGTTTTGTGTGTGATTACCTTTTTTGTGCTTTCATTGGATCTCAATGTTTCTTAAGCTTCTGTTGTTCCTAACAAGTGATATCAAAGCCGACGGTTTACGTTAGGAAGTTCAATGTGTATATGAAAATCGAAAATCCAGGAAACATATATAAGAAGTCTCAACATAATTTGTAATGGGTTTTCAGTTGTAGGTAGAGTTAATCAATTAGCTTGTTTGTCACAATGATTAGAAAATCTTGATGGGTTACACACCATGGAATTTGAGCAAAAGTGGAGATTGTTTGGACTTGTACTTCAAATTCCTTCTGTACTTAGGTTTCTATTTTAGAGTTGTATTTTATTTGTTAATTTCTTTTAGACAAGTCTTAGACTCTAAAAGACGATTATGTTTTGTACTCTATAAATAGATACCCATGTTATTGTTGAGAGTTAAGAGAAGGAAAGACGTGTAGCCTTATAACGGAGGGTGGCCTCATGAGGGAGTTAATGAATAGAGAAATTACACGTTTAGTAGAGTAAACATTGATGGTGAGAGGGAGTCTCGTTGAGTTTACAAAGAATTAGGGAGTCTCGCTGAGTTCATAAAGAAGAATTCTTGACCAAAAGTATGTGTTTATGGTTCGGTGTTGGAAATTTTCTACTTTTATAATATCTCTAAATCAATATGGTAAATCGTTTCTCATCCGCGGATGTAGGCTAAGTTTGGCCGAACCAAATATATCTTGTGTTTTGTGTGTGATTGCCTTTATTGTCTTTTTTGAGCTTTTGTTGCCGCAACAAAAACAAATTATGATATTTTATTAATAAAGAATTGAATTCTGCTTTGCAAAACATGCATATATATATATATATATATAAATTTCAATAAGAGGCCAAAATGACATTATCCCTAAAATTATGAAAAATAAGGAGATTAAACTTAAACGCTAAACTAAGATAAATACATAATTTTGAATTCGTTTAGACTTCAAACAAAAATTCTGATATTCAACAACCTTCTTATAGCACTGGAAACATAATATCGGACTCTAAACAATGAAATTTGGCCAAAGAAAGGACAAAAAAAAAAAAAAAAAAAATTCTTTCTCACGAATATGGCCAAATTAAAAGTTTTGTTTGTTGGGCCGTTTTCTATGGAATATGATTTCGTCTATTTTATTGGCTCGTTGAAACCATCCTTAAAAGCGTGTCAACCTGATCATTTAAATTTTTGGCTATCCAAACAAGCCTTAATTTTTTTTACAATCAGTGAAATGCCATATATATATTATAATATATATACATGTGTGGGTGGATAGATCATTTCATAGACGATCACCTTACATATTAGGCCTTGACTTAGCACGTCAAGAAACAAAGTCATGCAAATATAAATTAAATAATTTATTAAGCCAAAGCCATAACATGATAACTCAAGTGGTTAGCACGATCCTTGGATCAACATTAAAGATTCCTATGAGTTTACTATAGTGTCCCGAATCTTTATTGACGCCTCTAAGAGACTAAGTCCTACACATGGGTCCGGTAAAGTATAGACTTTCAGCTGCTGTCATGATTTTAAAAAATTATTTGCACTCAATCCGAACTCACAACCTCGTCATTGCAGTCGGATCATTTTACCTAACTAGAGAGAAGGCATCAACATGAAACTGAATCAAATATTGTTTCTCACTTTAATATCAATTATAACAGATTTGGTACTTTGTGGTTTGACCTAAAAATTTAATCTACACTTGGTAACAGAGCCAACTCTTTGGATCAAAGTTCAAAATTGAATTTAAATTCTTTAGTCTTAAAATGTGATTTATGCATTCACTAATTTGTGCTTAAAAAAATTAATATGAATCACTAAATGTCTCGCATTTGATTCTTCAATCATATTCTGGCTACATACTGCGATAGAAGTGGGAGAATTTAAATAATATTAATGATGTTCCTCTGCAGATACGCGTTATTTAAAAAAATATCGATGTTGTGATCTTAAAACAAGCACCAGATATCAACTCCCATCATTGAGAGAGTGAGAGAGAGAGAAAAAAAAAAACATAAATTACAGCTTAAAAAGGTTTCTCCTTGTTAATTTGTGTTATGTGCTTAAAAATAGTAATTTTTTTTTTTTTTGGCTTTTGTTTTTGTGAGTGTAGTAAAAAAATCTCTGCTCAGTTTTGCTCAAAAATAAATACAGAGAAAATAAATATAGATTAACTAGGATCTAATAAGTGAACTGGTGATTCAAGATATAATATATATATATATATTTCTTTGGAGTATATGTATCAGTCTCATAATACACGTACCATTTAAGTTGAAAGTGCAATTCGAAAACAAGAGTTCAAATACTTATTTTCCAAATCCCTGCCACCGCTATGCGAACATTCAAGATAATATATAGATATATTACTATATTTTTTCCCAGATAATATATAGATATGAGCTACACGTTTTGGGTTGACCGGCGTTAATTGGTACAGTTGCAGTGTATAATATATATATATACACACTGATTTTCCTGATTTATTTTTTTCCCATGCCATTGAAGATCATGACCATTAAGCGTTTTACATACTGGGTATTAATTACTAAATCCCCCATTTTCCAAGAGCAAACCCAGTTGTGATTAAAAATTAGATTTTGTGTAGACTTATACATAGGATATACCATAAAATAAAAACAACATCAAGTGATAAGGCTAATAAAATTCAAAAATAGGCAGCAGCAATTAAAACATGACTTTGCAACAGCTGGTCATGTCATGTGTTGTGTAAAAAATTTGGATTTAAATTATATTGACTCGTCAAACCTGATTATTGTTATTTTAAGTATGATTTAATTTTTTAAAAATTAATTCTATTATCCCACTTTTTACTCTATAAATTTGATTGAAGATTAATGTTTCGATTGAGAAATGGCAATTAGAGGCCATCCTCTCTTCTTCTTCCTACTCCTATCCCTTCAGGCTAGCATTTTGGCTAGTACTGAAGCTGCGAGCCATCATTTTTCTCCGCTCAATCGGAGCAGTTTTCCAGCGGGCTTCGTATTCGGGGCAGGCTCATCTGCTTACCAGGTTCGTTCGGGATTCATATCCTCTCCGGTCCTTCATCCCGTCCAGTACCATTCTATGCACAATTAAATCAATAATACAAGTCACTGCATCATAATGTAACACTTATGTAATACATTTATATCGAAAATGCAACTCATAATCTTGTTATACTGCTGTAACATTTTTAAATCGAGAATTCAACACCTTTACATAATTATTACATTATAAATGCATGCATGCACTCTCTTGTATTTATACATGTACGTTTGTGATGTTTCTCACCACAGAGTGAAGGAGCAGCACTAATAGATGGCAGGGGACCTAGCATATGGGATACATTCACCCGCCAACATCCAGGTTAATTTCTCTCTCACACATATTTGAGTTAAAAAAACTTCTTTAGTGACCTGTTATAAATTACGGTGTAATGAGAAGGGCTAAAATCACTCCAACGTGTTGAATTGATCTCGACTAGCCTTCCGTAGTGTAGTAAAATACTAGTGTACTAGAGAGAATGCTGGTTCCACACAAATTTGTACCCCACACACAAAAACGAATAATTTAGCTAATTGATTTTTTCTTTGATGTTTTCTTTTCTAGTAGAAATTTTTATTGAAAGTTCTCTTAGATGACATTTGAGAAATATTCTTATGATGTCATTGGCAGAAAAAATATTCGATCACAGTAACGGGGATGTTGCAGATGACATGTATCATCGTTATAAGGTATGCTTGATCATATTAAAATATTCCATTTTTCATGTTGGGTAATATATATTGTCCTTTTATATATATATATATTTATTATTGTTGTATTTTATATTCTTTTACCAAAATTGTTGGCATATTCTCCAGGAAGACGTAGTTTTGATGAAAAAAATTGGATTGGACGCGTTTAGATTCTCAATCTCATGGTCCAGAATATTACCAAGTAAGACTATCCCATTCATTATTGTCAATTATTCATATAAATATGAGTCCATGGAAATAAGTTGATTTTTTTTTTTTTTTTTTTCGATCCAACTGGGATGTATGATTTTGATTATATATATATATATATTTTTATTTTTTCTCTCAGAGGGCAAGATTAGTGGGGGAGTGAACCAGTTGGGTGTAAAATTCTACAACAATCTCATTGATGAACTTCTAGCAAATGGTGACAATTCAATCTCATTCTCATACACTACTTCTTTATTATTATTATTATTATTATTATTATTATTAATTTTTGATTGTTTATTCTAGTGTGTCATTAACATTTCTTATCATTTACAACTTTTGACCATTTTTCCACAGGTTTACAACCTTATGTGACTCTATTCCACTGGGATCTTCCACAAGCTCTGGAAGATGAGTATGGAGGATTCTTAAGTCCCAAGATTGTGTAAGTTATATATATATATATATATATATATATATATATATTGCACATGACATTCGATATAACTATATAATTACCAAATATTCAAATAATAATTAACCATTTTGATATGATGAATAGGGATGATTATCGTAATTATGTAGATTTCTGCTTCAAAACATTTGGAAACCGAGTTAAGCATTGGTTCACTTTGAATGAGCCGTATGCATATACTCTATTTGGATACACAACCGGTACTTTTGCACCTGGTCGATGTTCAAGCTACGCTGGGAATTGCTCATCAGGAAACTCTGCGACCGAACCCTATATAGTCGCCCACCATTTGATCCTTTCTCATGCTGCTGGTGTAAAATTGTACAGAGAGAAGTATAAGGTACGTTTGTGTTGTGTAATTGCTTAATGATTATTATTCAGAATATAATAGATTAAAAGAAAAAAAGAAAAAAAAAAAAGAAGAAACAATTCTAAACCGATGATAAATCGGCTAGTAAAATCTTTGAGGATCAATTTTCTCCTTTTAAGTCTTTGATTCGAGTCTCATTGAAAGTGAGGCCTAAGTTTAAATGATGCACATGATTTTTCAATGATTTTATGCATTAGAGTTTACAAACTATCTGAAAATTAAACGAAGTTAATTGATTCATTATTAACAACTGAAATTGTTGTATGAAACAACTTGGAAATATCTTTCTATGTATAGTCAACTCATGACAAGGAAATCATTTATTTTTTCATTAACCAATGCATTTGTGTTTATGGGATTAATTACTACATTTGAAAATGTGCAGCCTTATCAAAAGGGTCAAATTGGGGTAACACTAGTGACCCATTGGTTTGTGCCAATTTCACAGTCGACCACAAGCCGGAAGGCAGCTCAAAGGGCCATTGATTTCATGCTTGGATGGTTAGTAGCCCAATGTTAATTTCCCTAAGTTCACATTGTTGGATAGTCACGATTAGAGGTGACAATTTATATTGATGGCTCGTGTTTGTGTCGAATTCTACTAAATTTTTTTTAAAAAAATAAAATGTGCAGGTTTTTGCATCCAATGACGTACGGTGATTATCCTCATATCATGCGTTCTTTGGTGGGGAATCGATTGCCCAAATTCACCGACTGGCAGTCCAAAATGCTGCAGAAATCTTATGATTTCCTTGGTGTAAATTATTATACATCAAACTATGCATCTAATGTTATGTTCTCCAACAGCGTTAACCTCAGCATGTTTACAGATAACCGAGCTAATATGACGAGTATGCTCAAAACATAGTCACCTTGATGTGCTAAATATTCATCATCTATGCATTTTTAGTGGTTTATTTATTTATTTTTATTTTTTTCAAAAAATAATAATAAAGAATGTTCTTTTTTCTTCTTCTTGATTTTGCAGCCGTCAAAAACGGGATACCCATTGGTCAACCGGTACACGTTCGTCTTTCTCTCAATGCCTATATAAAAACATAGTACACACACACACACACATATATATAGATGTGTAATATATTGGAAAGATGATTACGCAGGGTTAGTGATAACCCACAAAAGTCGAGTGCATCATGTGAATGAGTATTTTAAATAATTATGGGAGTAATTGTGTTTTTGAAGAATAGTTTTCTCATTTTATTTTTTCTTAAAAAAACAAAGAGTAAAGTGAAGTGCAACTCAAATAAATATATATAAAATAAAAAGTTTGAATGTATATTGTTTTCTTGTTTGTTAATATGAAAATGGCTTTTAAGTAATTTTATCTCACTTAACTATTCCCTTAAATAATTAAGGGGTGCAGTTTACAACAAGTCAATTGTGCAGAGGTGTTTAGTGCACTTTTGTCATGAAAGTAGTGTCATCCATTATTGTTATTACAATATATATATATATATATATATATATATATTTGAACATATAGAAATCTTATGTCGTTTATGGTGTAACTGGTTTTGCAGACTGACTTAAACTGGCTTTACATATATCCCAAAGGAATTCGATCACTTATGTTGTACATCAAAGATAAATATGGCAATCCCCCAATTTACATCACTGAGAATGGTAAGTCGATATGTGTATGTATATATATACAGTATCTATTTTGTTTTCAATTGTGAGGCATGAGTAACCCTATCTAATAATTTTTTTATTATAATAAAAATGTATGTATGTTTTCATTGGCAGGGATTGCAGAAGCAAATAATAACACGTTGCCCATTAAGGAAGCCTTGAAGGATAAAGTGAGGATATTGTACCATTATGGTCATTTATCTCATCTTTCAAAAGCTATCAAGTAAGCATTTTCCATATTGTATGCTAAATTAATGACAAGTGACTTTATTAGGGAATTAGGGTTGAGTTTTCTAAGAAACAGTATTTTTTTTTAATTTTTTTTTTTTAAGAATTGAAAATTACACATTTTGTAAGATTGTTTTATGAAAATTAAGTTAAAAAGGAGTTTGTTTCATAGAATTATCTTTTATACTTTTTTTAAAAATAATATTTTTATTTTTTGAGAACTATTTTTTAAATGACAAACCAAACTTGTGTCTCCGAATAATTCAAACCTAATAGAGAGCTTAATGTCCCCATCTGCAAGATTCAGTGACGTGAATATTGTGAATGGATAGTGTTGGACTCTTCATTCAGTCCTAACTTAATTTTCGAATGATGGTTAATAAAATGGCATTAAAAAATCAAGGTAACTACGATTATTAGATGCAAGAAGTAATTTTTAAATTTTTTAAATTTTGGCGATTATAGGTGCAATTTAATTAATTAATTAATTATTATTATTTTTTTGCTGGAACATGTGACTAGCTACTCTCCTCCGAGCATGTGAAAGACCCCAATACCACATGTCAATTTTAATTTAGAGAAACTTTTCGTGATACTAATTATCCTTAAAGAACCCAATGTAAGACCTCTACCACACAAGACTAGTTATTATCTAATAATCCCACTCAATCAGATTATTAAAGGTTAAGTGCGAAAAATACCTTTCTATTATGCTTATATACAATGCATATCACATTCTTTCCGTACGTGCGCAACACACTCAAAATATTTGCACCCAATTTATCATTATTGAGATATTTTACATACTATTTTTCTATATAATAAAGATCATAAGTTAAAATAGTTAAGTGCAAAAAATTCACATGCTTGCAGTGCGTATCGCACCTCTTACATTCACAAAACTTTCCTAAAGTGGAAATATGGTGTTTATATTATATAATGCATTTTTGTTCTTTTATTATATAGTGTATATATTATTTTTGAGAATCCAGAGGGATGAAAAATACTAAAGATATTGAGGAAAAACTTCAAAAGTGGATTAAATATAGTTGTTGTCCACGTAATACCCATCTATTATAAGAATATATATAATATACACATAATATATATAATACACACTCCCTTAGACATTTTTGAAAGATTAAAAAGACAAAATGAACATTAAAATATTACTTCATGTTAGGAACCTGCAAAAATTAATTCGAAGCGTTTTCTGCGCAAGTTTGAAAGATTAAGTGAGATAATAGCTTGGGTTCTAAAATAGAGAGTGAAAATGTTAAGAGGGTGAGTGTTTTATGCACTTAACCATTAATTAAAAGAATCTCTCCTGATGTTTGTATATAAATATATATACATATTTATATTTATATAAACACATACTCACAATAACTTGAAATAATAATAATAATAAATTAATGGTGAAATTTTGAAAGATTAAATGAGATTATAGCTTGCGTTCTAAAATAGAGAGTGAAAATGTTTAGGAGGGTAAGTGTTTTATGCACTTAACCATTAATTAAAAGAATCTCTTCTGATGTTTGTGTGTATATATATATATATATATATATATATATACACACATATTTATATTTATATAAACACATACTCACAATAACTTGAAATAATAATAATAATAAATAAATGGTGAAATTTTGACAGGGAGGGAGCTGACCTGAAGGGGTACTTTTTATGGTCATTCCTGGACGACTTCGAATGGGACGCTGGTTTCACAGTTAGGTTTGGCATCAACTACGTAGATTTTAAAAATGGGTTGAAAAGATATCCCAAATACTCTGCTTTTTGGTTCAAGAAGTTCCTCAAAATGAAATAATTGGTATACTTGGAATGGAAGTTGGATGAGTCAATGGAGAGACAACGAGACAATAGTCCCCTTTTTTTTTTCTTTTTTTTTTTTTTTTCCCTTAAGGACGCTATAATAAAATTCTTTTTGTTTTTTCTTGTAATGGCTTCATCTTTGAAAAATTAAATATTTTGTTGCGACTGATTCAAGGAATTTAGTTTTTTCTACTTATTATTATTAATTTTTTGGCGAAGAGATATATAAAATAATACTTCTCAAACTTAGTATAGAGTTAATGTTCACTCAGAATCTAAAGTGTAATTTTTAAAGTGTCGCTCATATTCCTCCTTAATTTTGTAATATATTAGAATATCAACAACAAATAACACAACAACCTAATCAAAGTAAGGTCTAAACACTTGGTTCATCAAATCCCAACCCAAAAGACATGATGATGAACTAGTATTGGCCATAACGAAACCTAAAAGGCAGTCTTAAGGATATCCTCCTCTATAATCTTTAGCTGATGATAACCAGTCCTCAAATCAATCTTAGAGAACAATTGCGCCTCTATGAGCTGACCAAACAAATCATTGCTGTGTGGCAAATGATTCTTGATCATCACCCTATTCAGCTCACGGTAGTCAACACATAAGCGAAGTGACCCATTTTGTTCTTGACAAACAGAACAACAACTCCCCAAGGTGATGTGCTAGGTCGAATAAGCCCCCGATCTTGCAACTCTTGGATCAGCTTATTCAACTTCCTTAATTCAACCGGCACCATTCTATAATGTGCCCTGGAAATAGGTGAAGTACCAGGAATGAGGTCATGTAGAAGTCCATTACCCTCCTAGGAGACAAATTCAGGATATCTTGAAACACATCTACATTCTTTGACACGAAAGGAAACTTCTTTATAGTCATATGCTACTCAACCACCTCAATATGGGTAAGAAATCCCTTAGTTATAGTCCTTTCCAAGAAGGTAATTGTCCCATAATTGAGAAGACAATAATCTTCCCATGGTAATCTGAGCATGATATCTTTCTTATATAACCAAATAGCGTCAAACTCCTTAATCTGTAGTCTTATCCAATCAACAAGATACTCCAACTCCCAATCCTAACAGGATAAACACGACATATTCTATCAAGCGTCGTCACGCTTCCGAGTGGAGTCACAATAGATATGGTATTACTTATATTTTCCTACCCTTACTATCACTTCCTTTTGCCCAGTAATTCTTTACCTAGGCTCTGATACCAAATTTTCACATCCCAAAATTTTAAATACAAGAACCCTTATCTCGTATTAAAATTTGGCATGACTTTATTTACATAATCACAACTTTGTAAAATAAATAAATAAAGAAGTAGATGTGAATCTCCCTCTAATTTATTAAATTGGTACAGCCATGATAATATTCTACATCGTCAAAAGTAATCCACGATAACTGGATAAACTGAATTAAATCTCACAAAATAACATCATTCTTATTACAATGATCTCAACAAGGAAAAACTGAACCAAACAAAAGAATACGAAAAGCTAACTAAAATCCATCGCCGTCATGTGATCCCATTACGTTCCTACTCAACATGTACCTGAAATGTGATAATGGAATGAGATCACAAGCTCAACAAAAAATGCTAAATACAATTATCGTTCAACAAGCTAACCTTACTTTGTATTTTCATATATAAAAACAACTTAAATAAGAACAATAATTTAAGATCCATATCTCAAGTAATTTTTATGGCAATGATTATCATTAAACATTACTAAACTCATATATCTCACATGAGCCCCGGGCTCTCCTCCAATAAAGTGGTGTGAATCGTGTAGTCATGATCCCGGACTACCAAAAACACACGTGTGGTTGGATTGTACGTCTACTCTCCAGATGATCCTGGATCACGTTCACACAATAAGGATACATAAAGCCCAATGGCTATAATAAATGGGTAGTGAATTATGAAAGGCATTAATATTTAATAATTTAAAATATTAATTAATGTACCAAAATACATTTTTAATTTTAAAAACAAAACTCTAAACACTCAACCAGTGAGAGTACAAAAAATATGGACACTCCCTGTCACTAGATAAAAGTTCCTGCAAAATTTTAGAGTCTAACTCTTTATAGTTACTATGTATTCTCCATTTTAGTGCTAAAAAAATAATACATTTTTTTTTTCATAGTTGGTACTCACATATACATGCCTCCACTGAGGCTTGAACCCTTAACCTCCCTTTGGGAAGTAAAGGTCTTATACCGCTAGGATATTGGCTGTGATACCCCTAATTTCGAAACATGGGTTGATCAAGTCCGCGCACAAAATCAGGGGATATCAAAACAATTAAAGTATTTAAACAAGCACAAATTACAAAATGAAATAAAGAATAAATAATACGATGAAGAAAATTAATAAATAATAAATCCATTAATAACTTTTCAATGGTTACAACTCGGGAATCCCGTAATTCAAGGACCTCATAACCAAAAGTCACTATCCAGAATTTTATGTTGAAACCAATATATTAAAACGGTGAGTATCGAGGCTTAGAGGCGCATAATCACTTCTTGAAGATAGTTGAAGCCTCTCCCATGTGCAACGAAAGACAAATAATAGCACTATCTCTAGGATTCAACTAAGCCCAGATATCAAATTTGTGCGTTCATGAATGTTGCACTTCTTCTTCATGAACCTGTATATTTATCTCCGTCCGATCAACTAAAAATATGAAACTCACACACTCAAAATCAATAGTTTGAAAACACCTTTTCAAATCCCTTTAGATTAACTCTAACTAGTTTAGAGAGTGTGTATATCATAGGCTTCATATGCCATACTATTTATACTAATATATTTAGAAGACATTAATAAAGTATTTAATGTAACTTTAAACTTAACTCTTAAATAACATATTAATATAGTAGATTAAATACATCAGGTGAAGAACTTAAAGTTTAAAGTTTGTAATATCAGTACTTTGTCTTCATAAATATATAGCTACTATATTAATTTGAAACATAACTCCAACAATTCCCCACTTGTTTCAAATTTCTTTTTATTGATCGGTACTGTCATCTGCATCAATAATGGTGTCTTTTGGACTTGAACCATTACCTAGTGCAAGTACCCTTGATTTCATCTAGGAACTTGGTGAACGATATCTTGAACCAAGAACCACGTTGATGAATAAGAAATACTACACACACATTTCTATTCGGAGATAAAGTACTAAAACTTGACATGTTTCGGCCATGTGTCCGGAATCCATACTTCTAAGTGTCGTTAAGGATCAAGCCTGTCTAAATCCTGTAGAAGCGGCCCTACTTCCACACTCAGATCAATGTGTCCATCAAGAGTGACCTTGCACACTCCAACCGAATACCGGTTATGGACTCATTAAGAGAATTTAATCTCATCCTCTTTATTGCAAGATAAATCGGTGAATCTATCAAGAGTGATTGTGTACACCCCAATCGGAAATCCGATTTATATAATTCATTAAGAGATACAAGTCTCAGCCTCCTCAAAGGTTAGTCAGTGAATTTATCAGAAGTGATCCTGTACACTCTAATCGAAAATCGATCTATAGATTCATTAAGAGATCTAAATCTCAACCTCCTCGGTTACAGGATTGAGCACCCTCACATCATGGGGAAAGGAATATTGGTCTGCTTTCACAAGTTGTTATGTTACTTGTTTTTCCTATTGAACCAAGGAGAAATATCACTAGGTTGGGTTCCCATAACAATAAAACTTATTCAATTACAGGTTTTAGTTCCATCCCTTTCGATGTCTTGGACACAAGGTCCCTTCACGTGTTATTCGATAGTGGATATGCCAAATAAGATATGGCCCTGGACATTAGGTCCCTTCACATGTCTTTCGACAGTGGATATGCCAAATTAGTATCGGCCTTGGACACTAAGTCCCTTCACATGTCTTTTGACAGTGGATCTGCCAAATTAGATTTGGCCTTCACATAGTAAACTATGATAATCCATTTGCCAGGATCTCTTATAGATGATTATGCTTCAACTGCACATGTATAGACTTTTCATTGTAACATTCATTGTGAGCTTAAAGCATCGCAACCTTATTGTCACGAAAATATTTCATGGGCTATATAGGCTTACTTCGTATTGGAATACCTTCTAATGAGATCCTTCCCCAGTCAACTTCCTCTCCAGCAGAGAAAATGCAATAACATTCGAATTCTATTGAGGAATGAGTTACAAGTCCACCCTTTTGATTTCCAAAAAACCATAACTCCACCCATGGTGAAGATCCAAGTTGGTATGAACTTTGAGCATCCATAGCAAAGAATAGCTAGGTATTTGCAGTAATCCGACCTATGATCCATAATACTTTGCAAGTACCTCTATATTTTCACAAGAAAAATTCAATGATCTCTTCCCAAATTATTTTTGTACTTGATAACAAGTTGTGTTTGCCCTGGTATAGCTCATCGCGTCATAAAGACCACCAATAATTTGAGAATTCAAGTTGATTCTCTGCATTGCCTTGATTGCAAACTGGCTCCGATTTGGGATTAATAAGAAAAAAATTGCAGCATCTGATAAGATTTTGAACCTTTCAAGATTAATTAATAAAATTGGATTACATGAGAGTAAATCCATGTTGAGGTCCCACACTTTGATTTACAAAATCACATCGGCCTCGCTAAGATCCATCATGTCAAAAGTTCAAGTTAACAGAATTTCCTTGGAATCTCTTTTTATCAATCTGAAATTCAGCTGCAATCATTGCTTTCTCAAACATTCATTCATTTAGTTAGGAACTTTCAAAAATGAGCTTTCAAGGATAAAAATTAGTATCATCAATAAAATAATGACATATCACTTTTTTTCATTAATATAATTAGCTCATTTCAAACATGTCAATATAGATCAAATTTCTACTATTAGTGTCTTTTCAACACATCAACAAAAGTTTACATATTACATGTAATGCTTTGATCCACATGAACCTTACCATTGGTTATCCTTTTGATTAATGAATTTAAACTCAAGTAATCAAGTATATGACATGCTATAAATTAATAAATTTATTATAACCAAAAATCAATTTTATAACTGAAAAGCATACCGTTAATAGAGTGGCTCATTTCGACAATCATACCAATATTGGATGAAAAATTGATGAATTTAGAACTTACCTTGAAGCCATTATTTGCAAATCTGAAAACCTCTTTCAGATGCATCACTTACCAGAAATTATGCTTATGCATGCCACTTTAGAAGTTGAAGAGTTCTCCTCTTATATTGTCATCTGATCCCCCCACTAGTCATAGATATTGCATAATTTTGACTAA